AGTGGTGACCTTATGTTTTCTATGATTCCTTATTTATTTTAATAGCAGCAAAGTGCTTTACCTCCCCTGTCATTTTCAGTAGTTTCAAAGAAATAAACATCTTCCACAGATAGTAAATCTCAAAGCCCTTATCAACATGGGGAAATAAGTATTGCCTCAGACATACTTACCGTAGGATGGGATTATTGCTTAAAGGTGATAATATTGTTGAATAATCCTTCTATAAGTATTCTTCTATAAAGAGTCATTTTTAGAGGAAAAAAAGAAACAACAACATAAGAAAGCTGCAGGTATAAACCTTAATTTCTGCTGTTGGAACTGCTACCTTAAGCTTTAATGTCTGTATTTCCACATAATATCAAAATTGATTCATGCCTGTGGTTTTAAATATTTTTTTAATACAAAAAAATTAATTTAAATTTTTTCTTATTATTTAGAAGTAAAGAATGCAGCTAGACCAAGTTACCCAAAAGGTTCATATCAGTTCAAGAATGCAACTACTAATGCATTGATTGATGCCAAGTCCACTGAAGGAATCCTGGAACCTGTTCCACTTGTTAATAACCGTAAAGGGAGCCTCCTCCTACCCAACAACCCCTCGCTGCTGCACCTTAACTTACTGAGTTCTGTTGAACAAGGAAAATCTACCTACTGTAGATTACAAAGGGCACTCAGCTTGCCTGTAAAATACCGCTACCATTCCCAAAAGCCTGGGTTGAACCAAGATCTCCGTAGGTAGCCCAGTAGTTGGATGCATAAGGCATACAGAATGGCTTGTGCATGGTTTTGCAGTCTGTTTTCAATGTGACTATGACATTACTAATGCTCTGTTAAGTGCTTACAGATGTGGGTTTCTCCAGATGTGGTGATTAATAAGTTAATCGAGATAGCTAGTCAACTAATGTTTCTGGGTGGTTTGTGCTTTACCTTTCAAAGGATTTAATTGCTTTGGAGCGTTTAATAGCTTTGGAGCTAGGCAGAATGAACTTACCAGATATCCCAGTTCATGTGATGTTCAGTAACATCAATGTTATTTCAAATTTCAGCTCTTTTTGGTGTCTAAAAAAGCATCTGTAAATTAGTGCAGCTAGTGACCTGGGAGAGGCAGTGAACGAGACAGTGTTGTTTTAAAAATAGTTAGAAAATAACAAAGAAAACAGTTATGAACTTGCCCCCTGTTTTGGAAGACTTACTCTTTGTTTTTGCTTTAAAAATGAAATGAGGATATAAGTCAAGTGATATGTGGCTACAGATGTTCAACTCCATATTAAGACTGTTAAAATTACCAGCACATCTTAAACCAATTTGTGGAACATTGTCTGGAGGTTATGTCATTGAAATAATGAACACTCTTTACTCAAGAATAAGCAAACATGTTAAAACATCAGTATAACTTTAAATCAAACTCCAGCATAAAACTGAGTGTCTGAAGCCTCATTAGACTCACCTGACATTTTTTTAGCATTGAGTCTTCCTGAACTGCAAAACTGTTATTAGACAAGTGAGCTCTGGGTTGTTACAGCAGTACAATAAGTGTTATACTTAGGGATGTGCAAACAAGCTCTTGAATGTTATTAGAACTCAGAGTTCCAAATCTATAAAACTCTGTGTCCAATTCTTGAACTTCCAATTTTCATTAAAGCGGTAGAAAAAGTCTCTGTAACATAATATGGCTGTAGTTAATAAAAATCCTGTCGTATAAAGACATAAAAAATGGGGACTTGTTAACAAAAATAAACATACAATATCAGAATTTATTTGTCATATATCACAGCCCCACTATGCAAATATGTTTGTCTTTCATAAGAACAAGTGAATTTAAGACTCCCTTTTAAATTAATGCAGACACAGAAACCATGAAACTAAAATATTTAATAACCTTACTAAAAATTTTGCTAGATCCACTTCTTTAAATAGGCAGGAAATTGATAGGAGTATCTGAAGGATAATAATTAAATATATTTTATATCCTACTTATTACTAAGAAACCACTTGTGAATTATCACTGCAACATTTTTGGGAACCAAGCCATAGGTAATAGTGTCCATTAGATACTATTCACATATTTCAACTTCATGTGTTCCCTTCCCCCATTCCTATGGAGCTGTGTTGCTAAACTGCAGATGCCCTGTAAACTCTGTGCAGAGATTTCAATGAAAAATAAAACTTGATTTTCTGTCGTATGATGAATATAGATCTACTTCCATTGCTACAATGAGAATAAATGCCTTTCTTGGTTAAGCAACAAACTGAGACCCCTCAGAAGGCTTTGCTAACAGGAATTAACCAGTCAGCCTTGCCAACCTGGGGCTTTGCAGGCAACTGGTGACAGTAGCATGATTTGAATATGACAAGCACATATCCAAAAAGGAAGCTTATTTATTGCAGATGTGGTACCAATAACAAGTGCAGACTGCTAGAAATGTACTTCTAAAAGTTGTTATTTTGGATGGTTACAAAGTAAGACTTTGATTTTAATTGGGCAGCAGGTTAGCATCACCTGGCAGCGCTGCAGAACAAAAATGTTGGACCATATAGTACAAAAGCATCCTTATTGTATTAACTTACAGAATCTGAAAGGATCAGGAAGGAGTCTTATTAGCTAGCTGAAAACCTGGAAGAATATTATTTTTTAATATTGTTTTCTCTTAAGCAGAGAAATATTTCTGGTTATAATATTATCTACAGTTGACTTGGGTTACTGTAAGATTTTTGCCTATGGTCCTGATGGACGTGTATCTCCCTTGAACTGCTAAAATTGTATAACAGCACACTTGTGGTGCCATACTGCATCTCTGGACACACATTCTGTAACCCCATGGTAACAGATTAATTTGAGTGAAATTTAGAATTTTTACTCCCAAGACAGTAAAATAGATCATTGTTGTTTTCTGGAAGGAACATTTTGCATGATTCTTGTTCATTTGATCTTTTAAGTGGTGGAACTGAATATTTATATCCAATAAAGAACAAGAGAGCACAGTGGATATCTTGAAAGCTATTGTCTGTGTGGAATAGAATGCATAACTTTTTGGCAGAGAAGTTTAAAACAAGGCTAGGCCATTTTCAAGAGAATGATTTGAAGAGGGTGTTCTAAAAATCACAAAGACTTGTGCTTTTTTTGCAATCAGAGCTGCAAAGATATTACCAAAAAACCAATTATGTGCATGTTCACTTCATGGTACATGTAGCTAAATACTGAAGTGATCTAGTTTAATATGTGCAAACTGTCACAGAAAGAAAATTTCAATTTGTGTATTTTTGAGAATTTTCTGTGGGCTTATTTATTTCTCAGCCAAATTTGACTGAGAGGCATTTAACTAACCATCAATAAGCATTTATACTATAGGACTTTGATTTGAAAAAAGAAAGAAAAGTCAAATGAGAAGAAAATTCCTTTGTCTTTAGGGATGCTGCCTAAGAAGAGAGGAAACTTAGTGAATAAATCATTATTAGACAGTCATTGTTCTGATCTAAGTATTATCTTTTACACCACTCTTTGGCACATTTATTTTAGGATTAGCTTTGTTTGGTTGCTTTGAGTTTGATTTTTCTCTTTGCAGAGTTTCTTTGGTTGTGACTTCCTTGTTCTAGATGATGCCAGGTCATCTAAAAGCAAAATCTGTCTTTTCAGGGCTCAGCCCTTTGGTCTTGACCAAGGCAAAATGGAGTTCCATAGCAGGCTTGGGCAAACAGACAGAGGTGGTAGGCTGTAATGCAGTCTGTAATAAAGTAGTGTCAGAAGAGAGTTGTAGCAAAAGACTATTGTTTAATTTCTTCACAGATAAGTCTGGTGCAGGTGACATATATCCCATTTTTGTTGTTTTTCTTATGTACCTTATTGCAGTAGTATTTTTTTCTCAACCTCTGCTTGTGCACCGCTAATGTGTACTAAGCTCTTTAAATATAGCAGCTACTATTACTACTACTGATGTCTTTCCTTTTAAATTTGAAGTAAAAGCTTCCTAGGCATCAGTTATATTATCTTCTAATTAATTTTTCAGTTAACAGTAGGATGGGGAAAAGTTTATTTTTTCTTCTTTGTACCAGAATAAAGTAGCATTAGTATGAACCTGAGAAAGCAGGCATGAGTTTATTCCCTTTGATAGTACATGAAAAAGTTACATACAGATTATCAAGTGCAGTTACAATCTCAAAACTGTAAAGATGGTGGTTAATTCTTATAGATGAGTTCTAAGGAAGCTGCACTTGTTTAAGCAGTACATATTGTGACATAAGTTATCCAAGAATAGTTTATGAGTGACAAAACTCTAAGTGATTTTCTATCTGGAAATCAATCTGTCCTTGAAAATGCACCTCATGCTCATTAAAAGATTGCATAACACATGCATTCTCTGTTATACAGGTATTGTCTCCCCACTTCCATTCAACCTCATTCTGTTCACTCCTGTTAAAGCTCCGTTTTGGGAGGAGAGTAGAGCGATGAGGTCTGACTTGTGCTGGAGATCTGTGCACAATGGCAGGCTGCATTCACATTCCCGACTAACTGAATCATTGAACATCAAGGCATTGAATATTTTACATCTCTTCATGAAGACTCTGTTGTTTGGCATGTGAGGAGCGAAAACCAACTGGTGTCTAGTTCATTAGCAAAAGCAGGCTGGCAGTTGTTATGTTGATATTGAAAATAGTACTTTATCTGTCTGGGAATACAGCAGAGCACTAATTCTATTTTTCTGTAGCGCAGATTAACTGATAATAACTCTAAGAATAACCCGAATGTGGTTTCCCCGCCTTTGTTTTTGAAGTATGAAACCAATTTGAACACCTGTGTTCAAAACCCTGGTATTCTTCTCTGCTTCTCCTTCAAACCAATCTCTTCGACTAACATGTATTTGATTTTTATTACTGTTGGCCTATGTTAGCAATGAAGTATCAGTGCGTGAATGGACATAGAGTGTGTGTTCTTTGCTACTTCACTTGTATTTCACATTGCACTCAGAGCAGTACTTAATCTCATGAGTTCCTTATATTTCCAGTTGAAGATGAGCAGCCGTCGACACTATCACCCAAAAAAAAGCAGCGAAATGGAGGCATGCGAAATTCACCCAACTCCTCACCCAAACTGATGAGGTAAGACTGTAAGAAACTCATATCTTCATCTCCTTTCTTTCTTCCTTCCTCCTCTCCTCCCCCCACATCAAAAATAAGGGGAGGGGGTGAAAAAAAAAGATTGTTAGATGGTTTCTGAAAGGCTGAAGTATTTATTCTGTCAGCTTGTCAGCAGTTAATGATAGAGCTGAAAAAAAATTCTGTCATGAAAAACAGTTTGAAAAGCTGTTTGAAAAATACATAGGCTTTAAAGTCTTAGCTGTCACCCTGTCCTGTCCATGTGTAGTTCTTAAACAGCAGTGGCACTAATGATAGCACTAACCAATCAGGGGAACTCATGTGGTTAGTTTGCCTCAGGCAATTCTCTTTTTGTTGGATTCCCTCTGAGTACTGTTTTCTGTACTTAAGGCCATATGTGAGATGTATCATCACAATCAAAAATGAACCTGAATATTACCTTCCTTTTATCCTGTCGATTGAAATCAAATTTCTGTTAATTGATTTAGACTGATGAAAAAGTCTAATAATATATGTACTTGCCAAAGCAAAGTTCAAAACTAATGCAGTTTTAGTCAAGCTAAAAGCACATTAATTATGAAATACAGGGATTTTTAAGAGGGTAGTATATGCTCTAAAAGTGGGTGATGAAAACAGCATCTTGTTAGTGATATTTTCCCCTCTTGCTATGTGTACATTATTTTACGCTAGTACTCTTTTGTATAACTATGTAGTTTCCTTTTATAGGATAAAATACCTCTAGGACATTTGTTAAAACTAAAACTGCAACAAGAAATTGTAATCTCTTAAAATATTATGTGATTTGCATTCTATCTCACTGTGCTTTTCCTTTTACCTGCTCAACTCAGTCAAAATTAGATCCCATAGTAGATAGTTTCCAACAAGGCTGTTCCTGCTCTGTTTTTGCATATCCTGTGAACCCAGGATAGACCCTCAGTCCATAATTGTATCCATAAATACCATAGCAGAGATTTTCCACTTTGTGTATATATATGTACACATACACAGAAAATGTAAACTTATTTGCATATATAAACGGACACATTCATGGAATTTGAGATTTATGTGTGTATAACTGTGTCTGCTCACAGAGGTTAAGTGAAAAAAATTGATACAAATATATAGTCCTTTCCATAAATAAAATCTCTTATCATTTTTGTTGACAATGATTTTGTTCCTGTAATGATTCTGGATACAGGTAGGTGATATTTCTCTTTGTATTTCAGTCACTAGACTGGAATTTTCTTTGTGCAGTTACAGAGGCATCCATATTTGTTTATTGTTTCTGCAATATAGGGCATATTCAAGGACGTAACTTCCACAAATCGTCTTCATCTCTGTTTAGACTACAGAACCAAAAGTGAGATTGATTCACGGAGGGAAAATGCACCCAGCTGTGGCTTTTTTTTTTCCCTATTGACCATCTATTTCTGTAGAATGTGTCATTAAAAGTTCTCTGCCTTCCTGTTAGCTCAGCCTTGCCCATATGACACTGATTTACATGCTTGTTTACAGTTTATGAGGAAGAATAAAATGAGCATACTGGCAAACTTCTCATTTTTATAGTGCCAGTTGTCATGCTAGCATAGTTTTCAATTTACTTACCTTTGGTCAGTCCTCTTATCTGGTGATAATTGTTTTAACTGCTTAAAATTTAAACATGTGGAGATTCTCCCCCTCACCTTCTCCCAGATTCTAATTTTGGGGAAGTAGAAGTAAAAAGAGAAAGGGAGAGAGAGAGAAGGAACTGAACACACTGTCCCTGTTTGCTATGTAAAGTATGCCTCATTTCTTTGATCTTGAGTAATAATAATTCTGGGGAGTTATACTGTTTTCATATGCTTCAAAGCTGTGTCAAAGTTTTGCTGCTTAAGGGTACTTCTTTATTCTATTGGCTCTTGGGTACTGAGATGACAGGTCCTCTGTACTAGGTGCAGGCTTTTTCAAGTCATAGCCTTCAGCAAAACATCAAATTACCAAATACAGGGTAACATACTTCTACACAAATGCCTTTCCTGTAGATATATTATACCATATATATTAAATACTTTAGTGTTACACGGTACATTTTATGTGCAATAGAAAGTGATGGTTTGAGGTAGCCTTAGGGGTACTTTTTTCCACAAGCAGAAAAAGCTAGTGTATACCGTATCAAGTATGGTTTTTACAGGACTTTCTGCCCAAAGGCCTTTGTAAATAAGTAATGATCAACAGATTGGCTGTGGGTTTTTGAAAAGCATGCCTGTGTCAGTTTGCATGATGGGGGAAGATTTTCAAAGTACAGCCTGCTTTCATTGCCTGCTGAAGAGGGACTGAGGGAGAGTAGTCGTCCTGAGCCTGAGCTGTCTGCTCAGTAGCACATCAGAATTGCTAAACACAGGTTGAGCAGCGAGTGGAGAACTTGCCAGGCTTCCAAATCCAGACATTGTTTTCTTCCTCGTCTCTGTTGCTGCTAAATTTATTCTCCAGCCCAGTGTTGGCACCCTCAGCTTCTCCCCAGACCCAACCGTCTCTTCCTTTTGCTCTTTATCTACACTGACTTAACTTTGGTCCAAGGTGCTAGAAAAGACAAAGTGGATTGAATCAGAAGAGAGCTCTGTTAAGATTTGTTTGTAATGGTCAAACTCTTTTCTCCTCTCTGGAACAAAGGTGGACTGTATAATCTGCTATTTCTTATCCTTGTAAATTACAGAAAGTGACAGGTACTTGCTTTCCTGCCCAGAAATCTTTAGTGCATGTCAGCTAGAAGTACCCAAGAGGTAAATCAGCTAAAGCACTGTCATGTCTGTAGCTGATATTTATCTTTAGAAGTTTTTTTGTAAATTTGCTTTAAAAACTCCTTTTTCAAGTCAGTTTTGCCCCTGTTCCACCTGCCCAGAAATAGCTGGCTATTTTGCAAACTTTTTCTCAGCTGTGGTTTGAGATCCAGAGGATCTAGTAGGAGCCTGGAAGCCAAGAAGTCTGGAGTATGAAAACAACAAATATGTGAAAAATTCATTAATAAATTGAAACCCAAATTGTGACTTTTGAATCATTCTGAGCAGCCCTACAGTTAAGATAATGTTGAAAGTGCTGCGCAGGTTTTGGATTCCCCCAGTGATGGAAGGTATTATGCTATCAGACAAAACTTTATGACTTCTTGTATTGCTGGATTAGAACAGAGGATGGAAATTGTATCACAGGGATTCCCTGGGACCTTGTGACAAGTGGTCTGACCTGGTCAGAGAGTGAGAGTTTTTGAGATTTACTAATACATGAGTAGAAATCCGCATTACCAAATATAAAATGGATAGATAGATTGGAAACAATTTTTTTAATGGCACCTTTTTAATTACTCTAAATTACAATATATTGCTAACTGATATAAATAGAAAATTGATATACAAATGCTCTTTGTGCGCATCATAGATGGTCTAGACTCATATTTAGGAAGCCACTGTTCTAACTGAATGCTGCATCACATCAAATGGCATGGGCAGAATCACACTGATGCAATACTAGACGAGTCTAGTCAATCAGAAACAAATCTTTGAAATTCCAACAATATCTACAAATGCAAATTAACCAGAAAAATACTCACCATTGTCATGACTGTTTTTACCTGTTTTACATCAGCAAAAGTCTGTCCCATTAAAGGCACAAAGGCATGGATACTTTTTTGAAATAACTAGAATTCCAACGGGAAAAAATATAAATTAAGATGTGAACACAAGGACATGCTATTACAGTAAAAAGTAAAATTTAAATAGGCAATGGAAGGAAAAGGAAGGCAGGGGGTGACTGGGAGAGTAGTCACATATCAGGTATCTTTCATGAGGTGGAGAAGAAAAGTAGAACTGATCAATGCCTCTGGTGTCATGCAGCAGTATCAGTCCTTGTTCATCATCTCAGTTGCAGGTTCTGATGTGTGTTATTGATGAGCAGCCACGTTAACAATGAGGAGGCTACGTTGCCTGAATATCAAATAGCAAAGCTAGTTTTTAAAAAAATGTGTCATTTTGGATTCAGAATGACCAGTAAAAATGTGAAAAGCCCTGGATATGAATCAAAAAAGCCACTTAAATGATTGTTGCTGAGCCTCAAGTCTGTACTTATTGCTTTGGTAGCTGCTACTGCCTGAGTGGAATACACTGACTTGAAGGAAATGTCAGCCCAGCCGAGTCAAACTACCTCTTAATGCAAGAACAAATAGCATATGACAGGGCCCAAGGGGCCTGAAGAGCAAACAAATAGTTTGTCCCTGTCCACTCTGGATGTAGTGGTGTAGTTGACATAGGCCTCTAGACAAGTAGCATACTCAGCAAAGGGTCATTATCATTAGTGTCCCAGATCACATAAGATTCAGAGGCATCAGAGGACACTAGGTTTTCAGTGTGTTGCCAAGGAGAATTTCGTAAGCCTGAGGATTTTTTCTGATTGAAGATCTAAAATAATTCCCAACCAAACAATAAAACTTGCTCAGAAACTGTCAAGACCCAGCTAAATGACACAGAAAAACAAGTGAGTTCTTTGGCATACATTTCCAGAAGCCTAATGAGATTATTTATCTGAAGTTGAGGAGGAAACCTCCTGTCTTTTTTCCTGAAGTTGTGTATAATATTTTAAGTATATGAACAATGGCTGTGCAAATTTACCTCCTCATCCACCCACTAAGCCACATACACTTAAATGTACATACACATTTTTGCTAGTGCCACTCAGCATGAATATGCATTGCCTCTGCCATTTTAGTGCTGCCCTTCCATGAAATGAAACTGTGAGCTTTCTCATAGAAGCAAAAAAAAGAAAAAGTCATGGCAGATCTAGAGAAGCATTTCTCAAGCCATAAATGGTAAAATAAGTTGATTCTGATAATTTTTCATGACTCCCTTAAACCAGACATGAAGGTAAGCTTTGAAAAGGTGAAAACCCATGAATGAGCCATAATAATGGTATATATTTATGTCCCTCAGTCTTGGAAGTTTCAATTTTGTACTCAAATTTACATCCAGACTATGTGCAGT